CACCCACCAGTGGGAAGGTCACAGTTCATGCATCCACTTGACTTTGGCAGAAATAGCACCCACTAATCTGCAAATTAAGCAGCTCTCCTGTGTGCAATTAAAGAGATCACAAGTCCCAGCCCCAGGCAACGTGTGCTGACAGCTAAAGCCCTGGGGCTGGTGGGACTGGTGTGCTGTGGTGGCTCCCAGTGGCTCCTGGTAGCCCATGGGGCTGGGAGCACAGGTGGGCTGCATTTTGGAGGGGTCAGCACCCAGGTGATAAAGGTTATTGAGCTGATCCAGGGTTTCTGGTGGTTCTGGGATGGTGGCACAGTAGTAAGCAGGGATATTCCAACCTTAGTGTTCAGCTCTGGGAGCTGAGCCAGAACCAAGTGCATGCTCAAAGCAAATGGTCTGACCAAGCAAGCAAGGGTTTGAGGGATGCTGGAGGTGAGGAGGATGAGTGGGGCCTTGCCGGAGCAGTTTGCAGGCTGCTCTGGGCTGTACCTGGGGTCTGTGCATCCACGCGAGCATCCTGCAGCCCCTGCAGGAGGGGGATCCCGTGCTGGCAGCTGCCAAGGAGGACGGTAGTGGGGAGCGCTTCCCTCCAGGACAGCTGTAAGGCAAATCCACTCTGCGCTTTCAACAGTTTTCTATTTGGAGCAGCAAACCTTGAATTAATGATGTGCTAATCAGGTCAGGCAAGGCCAGCCCGCACCGTTATGAAATGACGCGGGGCTGAGCAGATTGCCCAGCGGTGCCAGGGGAAGGTGGCAGGTCCATGTACCACCACCGAGGGGTGGCTGGCCCTTTCCTGCTGCTCTGGGGGGAGCAAAGCCTGGCATGGGAGCTGCCACTGCAGCCCCAAGCCTTGTGTGTGCCTTCACCCCATCATCTTGTACATCAGTGTCCCTATGGCATGGGTGTCCCGTGTGTCCCAGACCACAGCAGGTCACCTAGAGGTGGACTCACTGGCCATGCCAGAAGCTGACTGTGCTTCCCGTCCACCTGTCAGCCACCCAGCAAAGTGCGTAAGGGAGGGATAAAACCCAGCAGGTCTCACCCATCCCTCTGCCATCTCCATCCACCCTTGTGCCAAGGGCTGGCCCAGCTCCATTTGCCATGTGAGCAGTTGTAGAGACCCTCCTGGGAATCTGCATCCCTGCCCATGCCCCTGCCTACACCCCTGCCCACCAGGAGCCGAGCTTCCACCTCAATTACCATCACCTTCCTCCTAAGCCCGCTTTGCCAATCTCCGTAAGCTGCTTTCTCAGGGCTCCAGCAGCAGCCGTATTTATGGCCCACTCTTACTCATGAAGCGTCTCCCCAATTAATAAACTAATAGGATTCCTCCCAAAATACCTCTAACACGGTGCACACACACACACGTGCACGCACGCTACGCATCTCAGGCCAAAGCCAAGCGAGCGAGATCAGATGCCAGGGGAGGGACTGCCTGAGGACTATAAGAAGCAGCAGGACTGGGAGCAGTCCATAGTGACTGGGTGGCAGTGGGACGTGCTGGGAGAGGAAAAGGAGAGCGTCTGTCTGTCCATCTGTCCACTTGCCAGGTGAGTGCTGCCTGCTCTGCTGCCTGGGCCCTGCCAGTGCTTTGGGGCACGGACTCTGCTGTTTTGTAAAACAACTGGGGACAGGTACAGTGGTGCTGGACAGTGATTGGAAAGAGGGTGGTTTGGGGCTGAAAGGGGATAAAGGATTTCAGCATGGCCGAGGCAAAGGGCATAGGCAGACAGGTTGAGTAGCAGCATGGTTGACCTCAGCCAAACCAGGAGGGGTCTGAGTCCTCCTCTCTCATACATGGGAGATGCAGAGGAGGAGTTCAGCTCTTCTCCAACTTTCATTGTCCCATCCCCAATTCCTGGGCTCTGGAGAGGGCCGAGCCCGCAGCACCGCTCTGCCCCTGCTCCCTTCGCATCTTCTCTTGCTGCCGCCTAAGAAACCCTGCAGGTGAGGATGCCTGAGCTTTACATCCCACAGCACCTGAGGACATCAAAGTTCCTGTGTTTGGGACTAATCCCTTGTTTTCCAATGGGGAAGAGGATCATCTCCTCCCCCTCCATATCCATTTCTTCTTTCTTCCCAGCATCCCTGCAATTGCATAAAGGGGCTATTCTGCCTATGCACCCCTGGGCTTAAAATCCTGCCTAGGCTTAAGCTTTGCTAATGTCAGAGCTGCCTAACTTTAAGAAGCTGAGCTCATCCCATCTAATCTCCCCGTGAACCAGCTGGTGATCAGCACAATATTTACAGTTTAAC